GCGTGCGAGGGGGGATGGGCACCCCGGGATCAGGGACCGGCACCCCCGGAGCAGGGATCGGCACCCCTGGAGCACGGATGGGCACTCCGGGATCAGCACCCCCGGAGCAGGGATGGGCACTCCAGGATCAGGGATCAGTACCCCCGGAGCAGGGATCAGGGATCGGTGCCCCCCAGGATCAGCACCCCAGGATCAGGGACCAGCACCCCCGGAGCAAAAATCAGCACCCCTGGAGCAGGGATCAGGGATCGGCGCCCCCCAGGATCAGCACCCTGGGATTGGGGACCAGCACCCCCGGAGCAAAAATCAGCACCCCTGGAGCAGGGATCAGGGATCGGCGCCCCCCAGGATCAGCACCCTGGGATTGGGGACCAGCACCCCCGGAGCACAGATGGGCACTCCAGGATGAGGGCTCAGCACCCCCAAAGCAGGGATCAGGGATCGGCACCCCCCAGGAGCGACACCCCGGGATCAGGGACCGGCACCCCCGGAGCACAGATGGGCACTCCAGGATGAGGGCTCAGCACCCCCAAAGCAGGGATCAGGGATCGGCACCCCCCAGGAGCGACACCCCGGGATCAGGGACCGGCACCCCCGGAGCACAGATGGGCACTCCGGGATCAGGGATCAGCACCCCTGGGATCAGCACCCCAAGGGCCACTGGGGTTGGGGGGGGGGTCAGGGCACGGCTCATTGCAGCACAGCCCAGTGCCACTTGCTGTCCCGGGGTCACAGGTGGGTGCTCCACTATCACCAGTGGGTGCCCCAGGGTCACACCGGGCTCTGGATGCCAGCTGGGGGGACGCCACTTGGTATCACCAGTGGGTCCTGGGGTGCCTTTCATATCTCAAGTGGGTGCTATGGGGTCACTAGTGGGTCCTGGGGGTGTCACTTGGTGCCCTGGGGTGACAGGCAGGTGCCTCTTTGTCACACAGTGCCCCTAAAGCCAGTAGGAAGGGACACTAGTGGGTGCCCTGGGGTCACTAGTGGGTCCTGAGGTGCCACCGGGAGCCCTGGTGTCACACAGTGGCCATGGTGCCAGGTGTGGGGGGGGTGTCCCCTGGTATGTCTAGCGGGCACCCGGTGTCACCGGTGGGTCCTGGGGTGCCACCCATTGCCCCCGTCGCCAGCCGGGGGGTCCCGCACCCCTGCCCCTCACCGATCTGCCCGTAGGCCATGCTGATGAGCCGCTCGTTCACCAGCTTGTCGGTCCGGGGGTTTCTGGGCTGCCGCTTCATGATGTCGCTCTCAGCCGCCTCGTACAGCGATATGGCGGGGACCTGCGTGGTGTGGGGGGGTCTGTCACCCCCTGTCACCCCCCCGTCCTCCTCCGTTACTCCCCGTTCCCACCTTGGCCAGCCCCGGCCTCACCATGTCGGTGCCCAGGTCGATGCAAAGGATGGTGACGGTGCCCAGGGGCAGGGGGATGTTGGCGATGATGAAGAGGAGGAAGGGGGTGATCTCGGGGATGTTGCTGGTCAGGGTGTAGGCGACGAGGGAGGCGAAGTTGTCATCGAGGAGGATCATGTCAGCCGCCTGCTTGGAGACGTCGGAGCCAGCGATGCCCATGGCGATGCCGATGTCGGCCTTCTTCAGCGCCGGGGAGTCGTTCACCCCGTCCCCCGTCACCGCCACAATGGCACCCTGGGGACGCGGGCGTCAGGCACCGCGGGGCACAGGAATGGGGCACCGTGGGGCACGGGGATGGGGACGGGGACACCATGGGGCATGGGGACAGCATGGGGTACCTTGGGGTAGAGGGAAAAGGGCACCGTGGGGCACGGGGATGGGGACGGGGACACCATGGGGCATGGGGACAGCATGGGGTACCTTGGGGTAGAGGGAAAAGGGCACCGTGGGGCACGGGGATGGGGACGGGGACACCATGGGGCATGGGGACAGCATGGGGTACCTTGGGGTAGAGGGAAAAGGGCACCATGGGGCACAGGGATGGGGACAAGGTGGGACATGGGGACAGGGCGCTGCAGGGCACCAGGACAGGGGCACCACAGGGCACAGGGTTGGGGGGGCAGCATGGGGACATGGGCACTGTGAGGCATGGGGACATCGTGGGGCATGGGGACGGGGACATCGTGCGGCACAGGGACGGGGCAGCAGGGGACACGGGGACAGGGGCACCTGGCGCTGGCAGCCCTCAACGATGATGAGCTTCTGCTGGGGGGACGTGCGGGCGAAGACGATCTCGGTGTGGTTCTTGAGGATCTCGTCCAGCTGCTCCGAGGTCATGTCCTTCAGGTCGGAGCCGTGCACCACGCAGGCCTTCGCCTCCCTGCCACACCGCAGCCTGAGCCGGGGCCACCGGACACCCCCCCCAGAACCCCCCCGGCCCCGGCACCTGCCGGGGGTTGACCTGGCTGACGGGGATGTTGAGGCGGGCAGCGATGTCCTCCACCGTCTCGTTGCCCTCCGAGATGATGCCCACCCCCTTGGCAATGGCCTTGGCCGTGATGGGGTGGTCCCCCGTCACCATGATCACCTTGGGGACGCACACACACACACACAGAGGAGTGACCCCCTGCTCAGGGGGGAGCTGGGGGAGGGGG